AAGATATCTTGAAGTTTTAACACCTGGTACTTGTGGAGGTGACCTTATTTAGAAATAGGGTCTTTGCATATATTCAAGTTAAATTGAGGTTATACTGGATTGGGGCTCACCCTTGTCCAATGACTGGTGCCCTTATATGTAGGGGGAATTTGGATCATAGAGACACACACAGAAAACATCTTGAGATTGGAGTGATGGAAGCCAATGGACATCAGGGACTGTTGGTGATCATCAGAGGCTACAAAAGGGAAGGAAGTTACTCTCCTAGAGACGTCACATAGAACATGTACTTGACAGCACCTTGATTTTGGACTTCTCCCCTCCAAAACTATGAGGGAATTATTTTTCTGTTGTTGTTGTATGTTTTTTAAGTTTATTTATTTATTTTAATAGAGAGGGAGAGAGAGATCATGAGTGGGGAAGAGATAGAGAGAGAGGAGAGGAGATCCCAAGCAGGCTCTGCACTATCAACACAGAGCCCTATGCAGGATTTGATCTCACGAACCATGTGTTCATGACCTGAGGCAAAATCAAGAGTTGACGCTCAACTGACTGAGCCACCCAGGAGCCCATATTTTTCTGTTGTTTTAAGCCATCGAATTTGTGATACTTTGTTACAGCATTAAAAAAATACAGACATCAAAATAGTTACTGTGGTTTTTATGTCCAAGAAGTTACAGAGATAGGCAAAATATGGAAAAGGCTTAATCTGAAATTCTAGATATGAAAACTTCACCTGAGATGAAATGTATACTGATAGGATTAGTGGCAGATCAACTATTTCAGGAAGAAAAAAGAATCCTGAATTTGAAGACATAGCAAAAGAAACTATCCAAAATGAAAAACAGAGAAAAAATATTTCTAATGAAATAAATATCAGTTGACCTCTTTGTGAGACAACTTTAATCAGCCTAATAGAAGTGTAATAATCAGAATCCTCTCAAAAGAGCAGAGAGACATAGGGGATAGAAAAATATGAAGAAATGATATCTAAATTTTTTTCAAATTTGATGAAAACCACAAATATGCAAATCCAAGAACCTCAAAATACTACAGAAGTAATATGAAGAAAAATACATCAAGGCACATGGTAATCCAATTACTCTCAACCAATGATAATGAAAGTCTTAAAAGCAGCCTGAGGGAGGGGGAAAAAAGTGTGTTACAAAAGAACAAAGAAAGTTATGACAGAATATTTTCTTTGGAAACAGTGCAAGCAACAAAACAATCGAGCAATAGTTTTTGAATACTGAAAGAGAAAAATACTATCAATCGATAATTCTATACATAGCAATGATATACTTGAAAAATAAAGGCAAAATGAATGCTTTTTCAGGCACACAAAAGCTGAAATCATTCATAACTAACTGATGTGTACTACAAGAAATGCTAATTCAAGTTTTATGATTTAAGTTTCTTTAAAACATAATTGACTATCTTACAAATAACAATGTATTGTAGTGCTTGTAACTTATGCATGAGTAAAATTCCTGGCAGCAGAAGCAAAAAAAGGCCCTAGGAGAGAAAAAATGAAAGTCAAGTACTTAGATCATACATAAAGTAGTGTAATATCAACTGAAGGCAGACTATAATAGCTTAAAGATGTATGCTATAAACCCTAATACAACCACAATAATAACTAGACAAAGAGTTATAGCTATGAGTCAACAAAGAAGATAAAATGGAATGATGAAATTTCCTGAATTAATCCCAAAAAAGGTTTTTACAAAAAAGGGGGGAAAAAAAGCAAAACCAAAACCAGGTGAAACAAATATGAGACTAGTAGCAAGATTATGAACTTAAACTTATTATCGATAATGACATCAAATGTAAATGATCTATACAACCAAAATAAAAGATAGAGATTGCCAGATTGAGAGCAAACCTAACTGTGGTATGTGTAAGAAATGCACTTTAAATATAAAGACATAAAGAGGTTAAAATAACATATTGAAAAACAATAGCGTGGTAATGCTAATCAAAAGAAAGTTGGATTGGGCCTATCAATAAGTAGATTAAAAAACAAAGGATATTACCAAAATAAAGAAGCCCATTTAATAATGCTATGGGCATCAATTTACCAAGAAAATAAGAGTTCTAAACATCTATGTATAGGATGTCAATATACATGAAGCAAAAACTGACAGAAATGCAATAGAAAAAAAGAAAAATCCCCAATGTAGTAAAAAATACTCAGTACCCATAAATCGTAGTTGATATAATAAGTAGAAAAATCATAAAAAATACATAACGTTATCAACCGTATGACCTACTGATATTTACAGAATGCATGCCTCAACAGCAGCAGAATACACTTGTTTTCCCAAATGTACACAGAGCATTTATCAAAATAGACCACATTCTGAATCATAATACAAGTGTCACTGAACTTAAACATTTTCGAGTCATAAAAACTGTATTTTTTCTCTAAATGGAATATTTTTAGAAATCAGTAACAGAACAATTTCTGGAAAATCACCAAATATTTGGAAACTAACACACTTCTAAATAACCCATGAATCAAAGAAGAAATTTTTGAAAATTAGAAAGTATTGTAAGCTGAATGAAAATAAATTTACAAGATATCAAAATTTATGAGATTAGTACTTACAGGGAAAATATAGCACAATATATCTATAATATTATCAAAGAAAGAAGTCTCAAATCAATGCCTTCAGCCTTAAGAAACTAAGAAGGAAAATCAAACCCAGTGGATGCAAAAAATAAAAAATAAAAAAAACAACAAACAATAAAGATCAGAGCATTTATCAATTAGATGGAACATAGAAAAACAATATAGAATTATGAAACAAATCTATGCTTCTTTGAGAACATTAATAAATTTAAAATTATTGGCATAAATGTGTTCATAGCATTCTCATCATCCTCTTCATAGCTTGTATAATATGTTCTAATATCAACTCTCTCATACCTGATACTGGTAATTTGTGTCTTTTTTGCTTCTTTCCTGATTAGCTCACTGAAAGCTTATATTTTGATGGGGAGGGGAGAGCAGAAAGAGACAGGCAATAAATGAGTGAACTACTCAATAACAACACCCAATGATAAGTGACAGTGAAACAAGATAATATGATCAGGGGAGACAGTACTTTAGACAGGATTTTCAGAGGAAAACTTTCTGAGGCATTGGTGTTTAAAGCAAGATTTGAATAATCTGAAGATCTGGGGACATGTTCCAGCATAGAGGTCCAGCGACAGCAAATCCCAGAGGTGATAAGAAACTTGTTCGAGGTCCAGCAAAGTGATGGTAGGGGGTGGACCTTGAAAAGCAGGGATCAGCAAACTTTGGCTTTCAGGTCAAAGCCTGCCCCAGGCCTACTTTGGTACAGCCTACAAGCTAAGAATGGCTCTTATATTTGTAGAGGGTTGTATGAAAAAAGAAGAGGAGGAGAAAATGTGATAAAATATTTACTATATGGTTCTTTATAGGAAAAGCCTACCAGCCCCTATAGTAGGACCTTATTGGTTAGGCTAAAGAATTTACAAGTAATCTTTCTTCTTTCTTCTTTCTTTCTTTCTTTCTTTCTTCTTTCTTTCTTTCTTTCTTTCTTTCTTTCTTTCTTCTTTCTTTCTTTCTTTCTTCTTTCTTCCTGTGGGTGAGTATTCCATGGTACGGATGTGTCACTGTTCACCCATTACCTAGTCAAAGGAATTTTGGGGTGTTTCCATTTTGGGGTGATTATTAATAAAAGCCTATAAACTTTGAAATACACATATTTTAAATGTAGAGTGCAATGACTTTTAACAAATGTACACATCCTTTTAACCTCCAGTCTAATTAAGATATAGAACATTCCCATAACCCCTGTGAGTTCATTCCTATTTTTTTTTCCTAGTCAATCTCTAATCGTTATTTGGATTTCCATTACCTGTCCTTGTCCCAGAAGAACATATAAATAGAATCTCACAGTATGTGAGGAGCTGATATTCTCTTTACTCCAAGAAGAATACATAAGCAAGCGAAGGCTTTTAAGAGGGAAATTGGGACAATCTGATTTATATTTTAAACTATCGTTTTGGCTACTGTGCGAAGAATGATGAGTAGAAGATAACTTATGTATCCTTTTTCTTCCCATCTTGGGGGTGGTGGTGGTGCGGAATGTGGTTCAATAAAATTCCTGAGCAGACCAGGAATGACCGGCCAGCTTCAAATCTAATGACAAAGCTGGATTCGGAGTTGGGATCAGAGCACGCACGACACTGTTCCTGCAGTTCCCCGTTGTGCACGGCAGATGGCCCCCGAGCGCAGTTCCTAGCCCGCTTCGCAGAGCGCGCTGCTGCCTGGAGAGCCCCGCGCGGCCAGGCGACTCAGCGCCCAGGTTTCGGTGCGTGTGGCGGGTCGCGCCCTGCGATCCAGGTTTGCGAGGAAGTCGGCGGGCAACGACGATCTGCCCGGGGTGTCGCGCCCGGCTGCAGCCGCACTCCGGGTGGCCACCGACGCGTGTCCGCCGCCGACTCTCCGCAGAGGCATCTAAGGCGGGGAGAAGCTGAAGTTCTGCAGGACCCCCGTCCGCCCCGGGACAGTCCAGCCGCGGGGACTTTCTCCGGCTAGAGTGCGTGCGGTGGACCCGGCAGGCGGTGCCCGTGGGAAGCTACCCACGGGGAAAGCGGCCCACTGGGTTTAGAGACAAGGCAGCTTCTAAACTAGTCTTTGGAGAGAACTCGGCTGGAACGCAGAAGGGACAGCCCGGATTGGTGTTGAGTGTCGGGGAACCGACGGAGCGGGCTGCGTAGCTCCGGGGACGGGAGTGAAGCAATTAGGCTTGTTTGGGTGGAGAGTTGCCTAGGGAAACCGAACACTTAAGAGCCTCTTCTTTCCCCTCTCCAGCCTCCTCTTGGGTGCTGAAGTCACAACCCCAGCGAGTCCTCTCTCCTCCCACGCCTCCGTCTGCCTTCCAGACCGCGGGAGCCCAAGGCGCAGAGGGCCGGGAACGAGACGTCAGTGGAGGATGAAGAACTAGCCTTGGGACCCTTGGAAGATGAGGCAGACGCCCCTGCTGCAGCTGGCGTTACTTCTCTCCCTGCCCAGGAACCTGGGGGGGAAAGGGTGTCCATCTCCGCCCTGCGAGTGTCACCAGGAAGATGACTTCAGAGTCACCTGCAAGGATATTCACCGTATCCCCAGCCTACCGCCCAGCACGCAGACTCTGTGAGTACCTGGGAGAGGAGAGGGGAGCATCGAGAGGCCAGGGACAGCTGCAAAGATGGCCAGAAGTGCACAAAAAGAGCGTGAGAGTAAGCCAAAGGGCTGTGTGTGTGTGTGTGTGTGCAGTGAGTAAAAACGCAACTGCCCAAACCTGGGATTGCTGCCATCCTAGTTACTCAAAACACGGGAAAAGCTAAAACCCTGGTGCAAGATGCAAGCGTGAGCTGCCCTTTCTCAAGAGCTGCTCTTCACTTTGCCCAGGCCTGGCTGAATCTTTCACTTCAGATATTAATAACACTAATAGCAACTTAAGAATTGACCTCTAGCACAGAGACCCTGTCTTTCAACTCTGAATTCCCCACACCTGGCATATGGCCTGGAACTCTTCTGGTGCGCAAGCCAAAGCTTGTTAGTAAGTGAGCCAATGAATATGCAAGCCTCAGATGTTGTCCGTCCACCACTTCTTCAGAGACAGTTTTGAAGGGGGTAGAATTTCAAGTCATGGGAGAGAAACATGGCTCTGACAGTGGAGGGGAACTTGGAGCCATCGGTTTACAGTTCCACCAAATGTCGAGGAAAAAGGATAATGTTGGAGGAAGGCAAGGGACTAAGAGTCAGGAGACCGTTCTCTTCATGCCCCTCTCACCAGCTGGGAAAATAGGGGAGGTCATTTATTTGGGAAGACCCAAGTTTACCTCTGAGTAAAAGAGGGGCGTCAGTTAGGTGCATTCCGATGTCTGATGATGCAAGTGAGGGGATTCGCTGGATCACAAAGAGTAAGAACTTGATAAAAACAGTAGCAGGGAGAATCTGACCTTGAAAACAATGGGAGTAGGGGTAGGGGAGGGATGGTGTGCTGAAGAACGAAGTTATTCTGAGAAGAGACAGTGATGAAGAGTGTGGGTGAAAAGGCATGCCAGTTTAGACAGTGGCCACAGCCATCTGCAACAGTAGCAAAGTGATTTTCAAATCTTGCCAGGGAGGGGGGGGCAGTAGAACTCTTGTCAAAGGAAAGCTTATGAGAGAAGTCAAATATGTAAAGCTAACCATTTTATTGTGCTTACTCCTGTCCTCAGCACTTTACACAAACTCACCAATTGACTCCTCACAAAATCCAACTGAGTAGGTAATTTTACTATTCTCGTTTTATAGATGGGGAAACTGAGGCACAAAAAGCAAGGCCACTTGTTCAATGTCATGCAGTTAATCAGTTGTGGTGCCAAGATTTGAAATAGCTCCAAGCTGCACTCTTAAGCCCCCTGCCCTTAGATGAAAGCAGGTCTAACCCTGCCAGCTTTTCTCCAATATGGTCTTGAAAAAAAATAGAAAGGAGAGAAAAATGTGTAAGAACTTAGAAAAGTAAGAGTTGGGCAGGGGAAGAAAAAGGAACAGAAAGAAGGAGGGAAAGGAAAAAGAAAGAATGGGAGGGAGGGAGGAAAAGAAAGACTGTATCTGTGTTACAGTAGGCATTTCCTGCTGAAACAAAACAGACCTTAAACCCTGTTCTGGGTGGCAACCATTTTTCTGAATCTAGATGCTGTGTAACCATGGCTGGCTGTTTTACAAATTATTATGGTGCTGAGAGCATTTTTTCCTAAGCCTTAGTCTCTATCCATGTATTATGGTGCTGAAAAGTAAACAAGACTGTCCCTTTCTGCATTACCCATACACTTGCCGTGTGGTTCAGTAGATGGATGGGAGACAGTTTCACTGTTTGTGACTTCCACTGAAACGGTGGTTCTGAATCTTCTCTACTTCCCCCATCTAAGACAGCATGAGTCACTCTCATTATAACAGTGATTCTAACTAGGTAGGAAGTAAGGGAGAGCTGATATTCCCACTCCCCAGTGGAACATTCTAGAATCTTTGATATGCAGGTAGTTTGGAAAAAAAAAATGCTCCTCCTGATTGAGAATACTGATTTAAGGGAAATTAAATGAACCCAGCAGAATAAAATGAAAAATTTTAATGTTGGCATATAATTATAGATCATATCACCTCAGAACCAAGGATAGCAAGATGGACCCATTACTCTCATTCAGAGAATTGCCATTTGCTACCTGTGTGCGCAAGAGGACTACCCCTTCTTTGAATGAGGGTGGGGTTTGATTTTCATTTTGGATTTGTGTGGATTCTTCCGCAAGAAAGTGCCACCTTACCTTGCCTTGCCTTGTCCTTTGACCTATCCACTTTCAGGTTCATGATGGTGACAATCACTACCTCACCCCCTCCAACTTCCTTCAACTCCAGTGGAGTGAAGGTTTGTCCATCACACACTTATGTGCCTTCAGAAATGTTTCTTTTTTTTAATTTTTTTTTCAACGTTTATTTATTTTTGGGACAGAGAGAGACAGAGCATGAACGGGGGAGGGGCAGAGAGAGAGGGAGACACAGAATCGGAAGCAGGCTCCAGGCTCTGAGCCATCAGCCCAGAGCCCGACGCGGGGCTCGAACTCACGGACCGCGAGATCGTGACCTGGCTGAAGTCGGACGCTTAACCGACTGCGCCACCCAGGCACCCCTCTTTTTTTTAATTTTTTAAGCTCATTTATTTTGAAACATAGAGAACGAGAGCAGCAAAGGGGCAGAGAGAGGAGAGAGAGAGAGAGAGAGAGAGAGAGAGAGAGAGGAGGAGCACTGTCAGTGCAGAGCCCTATGTGGGACTTGAACCCACAAACCATGAAATCATGACCTGAGCCAAAATCAAGAGCCAGATGCTTAACTGACTAAAGCACCCAGGCATCCCCCCCTTCAGAAATGTTTCTGAAGGAGCTGTTATAGCTCCTGTTTTCAGGTTCTGGATTTTGCTTCCATTATTGCTAATTTGCATTCTGCATCTGTATCTGTGGCTCTAATTGATGGACTAGCCCACTATTTTCGAAACTGAAGACACTCACAGATGTTGATCTTCAGGATTTTTGCCAGATCTGTGTTCCACCTGTGCTATTATACATTCAGTATCTTTAAGTATTTCACTTCTTTAACTGAAAGAAATTTATTTAGAAAGCTTATATTATGACTATAAATGGGAAATTAGCATAACTTGCTGTAATTAGGAGGTAACCCAGAAAGCTAAAAACATTGAAAACACAAATATAATTACATTCTAGGCTCAAGATTATTGCCTGTGAATGCTCTAAGCCTGAGGCTGACTTTCCCTTGTTAAAAGGGAAAAGGGATAGGGGCACCTGGGTGGCTCAGTTGATTAAGCATCTGTTGATTTTGGCTCAGGTCATGATCTTCTAGTTCATGAGGTTAGGCTCCATGCACTGACTGTGCAGAGCCTGCTTAGGATTCTCCCTCTCTCTCTCTCTCTCTCTCTCTCTGCGTCTCCCCTGCTCTTGCTGCTTTCGCTCTCTCAAAATAAATAAATTAAAATTTAAAAAAATTAAATTAAATTAAATTTTAAAGGAAGGGAAGAGTGTAAGTGTTAGAGAAATATTCAAGAGGTACCAATTCAACATGCTGTCCTTGGTGGTATCAGAAGAATTGAAAAACCATGGAAAAAGGAATCACTTTTTCACTGTTATTCAATATTATTTAATGCCATGTGGGCGTTCCACCTAAAATAATCTCACATCATACTTGGTTTCCACACTTAGGAAATTGTGCATTTATTCCATATTTCACAACTGTTTTAGTCACAATCAGTGGTCATAACCTGAATAGCATTTGATTTCCCACCTAAAAAGAAGCCCCCTGCTTTAGCACCCACATGCTTGCCAAATACAGAAATACTCTATGTCTTACAGAGATGGTGTCACTTCATGCTTCTGGGCTCCATGATTTATTATTCTTTTTTCTCCTCTGTGTGTGTGACTCAAGGTCTTTGATGGTAAGTAACAGAAAACCCGGTCTGTCTAGCTTAAGGAGGGAAGAAATGTTCTGAAACAATAACATGTAATTTACAGAATCATTGTAGAACCTGGCTTTTAAAACAAGCCAGAGCCCAGGGCAGCCAGGGAGTTGGAGCCACAGCCAACCATCTGGTTGGAACAACTCCACAGACAACACCATAACCACAGCCACTGGACATCTGTGGTGCTGGGCACCTAGTTCTGTAGCTGCTGGGCTGTCTGTGTACTGCTATCAGTAACGTCTCAACCATTCCTGCCACTTTGAATCACCAGTCAGAAAGTGATATTCTAGATGGAAGCATCTGATTGTCTGCCGTAGGTTACCTGCTGTGTCCCAGCTGCTGGGGGGAGTAGGAGGAGGGAGGTCCCTTTTCCCCACTTTTGGTGTCTGTAGTAGGAGGTGAAGAACTGGGTCCTTCTAATAGTACACATATTAATGGGGCATTTTCCACCAAAGAGGGGCTATCTGCCCTCACCATTGCTCATCACTTCCTTCATCCTGCAAACGTTTATTAAGCACTGGCTACATTCCAGACATGTGCTAACGCTCTGGACTTGGCAGAGAACAACATCAACATGTCCCTGTCCTCAGGGGTCTTTACAATCTAGGGTGGAGCTGAATATCCATCAAATAATCTCGTAAACATGCAATTATAATTGTGTAAGTGTGCTAGAGTGTACTTGGTGGGAATGGGGGGTGGAAACTGATTTCAACTTGGGTTCAGGGAATGTTATGAGCTACATCCTAAGCTAGTAGGATCCTAAACTACTAGGCATAAGGAGTTGCGTGTGTGGAGGTAGAGGGTGAGGAAGTGGTGTTCCAGGGGATTGAATTACTCATTTGAAGAGCTTTGAAGAATTCTAACCTGAACGGTGAAAGAGTTGATGGGCAACAATATACATTGCTACTTTCTTTGTGACACAGTACAGGTCGAGGTGAATTGTGATGTCAGTTTTTCCTCCAATTCTCCAATTCTGGAGGCAGCTTTTGTGCCAACAACAACAAAAAAAATGACTTGTTAGGGGTAACTGTTTAAAAACAAATATTTGATTCATTACAGTAATAAATGTAAAGACTAGTTCTTTTCTGAGTTTTCCATATATTTATTATTTTATTTGTAAATTTAATTATAATAATTACCTTAA